CCGTATGAGAATCAGTCGAGACGCAAAATAGAGTTGGCTAAGTAAACAATGCAATTTACTTCTATTTATGTAGGATTTACAAATCGATGCTCTTCACAAGGATAGGGAACACGCGGAAAGTGCTTAACTTAGCCTCCTTTTTTTTTTGGTTTGGTCGACGTACCTCGCAATCATTAGTAGTAGACCTTCAGCTGGTCCGCATTCCAAGTGTGCTTGAGGTCTCGACCACCAGGCTCTGCCGGTCAATACGGCCCGTTGGCCACAACTTCCTTTATTCTGTAGGGTCCTTCCCTAGTCGACCCCAAGGCACCAGAGTTCTTGGGCTTGGTGTTCGGGGTTACCACCCGCAGGACCAGATCTCCAACCCTGAAGCGCCTCGGATTGACTTTTTTTATTGTAGTACCTAGCAGTTCTGGCTTGGTACGCGGCGAGCCTCAGCTGCGCATCCGTGTGTCTTTCTTCCAGAAGGTCGAGCTCTAGGTTCATCAGCTCGGCGTTCCTGTCTTTCTCGTATCAAGCCATTCGGCAAGTCGGGATAGAGACCTCGACAGGGAGAACTACTTCGGCTCCATAGGCCATTGAGAAGGGGGTTTCCCCCGTGGTGGTCCTACTCGTTGTTCTGTAGGCCCACAAGACTTTCGGCAGCTCGTCTGCCCATTTTCCTTTATAGACGTCGAGCCTTCGATTAAGCGTTACCTTTATAATTTTGTTGACCACCTCGACCTGCCCGTTGAACTGTGGGTATACAACAGAGAAGAAGTTCTTATGAATTCCCAATAGTTCGTAAAATTTATTGGTGTTGTCGTTGTTGAACTGTCTCCCGTTGTCAGACACGAGAGAATGCGGTACACCAAACTGGCAAACTATGTTGTTCCATATGAAGTTAGTGCATTTCTCTTTTGAGATAGTCGTTAGTGGCTTGGCTTCCACCCATTTGGTAAAGTAGTCGACGGCGACAATGGCGAACTTATATCCTCCGGGGGTTTTGTGCAGGGGGCCAATAAGGTCAATCCCCTATTTAGCGAAAGGCCAGGGGGACACTATCGATGTGAAGTCCTCTGAGTGTAGTCGAGGGGTTGGGGCGTACCTTTGGCAGCTTTCACACTTCTTCGCATACTCGGCTGCATCCTTCTTGAGACTTGGCCAATAGTATCCCTGCCGTAGTATTTTGTATGCTAGGGACTGTCCCCTTGCGTGGTTTCCGCATATCTCATCGTGCACCTCCAAAAGCACCCTCATTGATTCTCCCTCGCCGAGGCACCTGAGCAGGGGCGTCGAGTACCCCCTTCGATAAAGAAGATTATCATGCATTGTGTATCTCGCCGCTTGATACTTCATCTTTTTTGCTGCTGCCTATCCTCGGGGAGTTCGCCGTCGACCAAGTATCGGATGATCGGGTCCATCTAGCCTGGCTGGTGGTCCACTGGCACGACCTCAGGCCTCTTCTCTGTGGTCGGGGCTTTCAAGACTTCTACGGGTACTAAGTTCAAGAGCTCGGCATCTTTCGATGTTGCCAACCTGGCGAGTGCGTCGACATTACTATTCTCTGCTCTCGGGACTTGCTGTAGATCATAGGCCATGAACTTCCCTATGGCCTCTTTGACCTTCTTTAGATAGGCAGCCATTTTCTCATCCCGGGTTTGGTACTGGCCCTTTACTTGGTTCACAATCAGCTATGAATCACTAAAGATATCTAACCTCCCTACTTTTAAGTACTCCGCCAACCGGAGTCCGGCCAGCAGTGCCTCGTATTCGGCTTCGTTATTGGACGCAGGGAATTCGAACCTAATGGCCGAAGTGATCTTGTGTCCCTCATGAGTGTGCAATACCAATCCTGCTCCACTACCGTTGTCGTTGGAGCTCCCGTCGACGTAAAGCTTTCATCGTGTTGGTGCATTAGCCTCCTCGGCTCCATCCGGCAACCCCGCGAACTCTGCCACGAAGTCCACTAGGGCTTGGCCTTTAATGGCAGCCCGCGGTTTGTAGTCAATATCAAATTGGCTAAGCTCTATGGACCATTTTAGAAGTTGGCCAGAAGTGTCGGGCTTTTGTAACACTTGCCTGAGAGGGTGATTGGTCAAGACCTGAACACTATGGGCCTGGAAGTAATGGCGCAACTTCCTCACTGTCACGACCAGCGCGAGGGCGAGCTTTTCTATCTGGGGATACCTCGTGTCAGCATCGAGTAGGCACTTGCTTGCATAATACACTTGTAATTGCACCTTATTCTCTTTGCGAATCAACACTGAGCTAACGGCGTGTTCCGAGACCGCCAGATACAGGCTCAGCACCTCTCTAGTCACCAGTTTGGATAGCAGAGGCGGTTTCCCAAGGTGTTCCTTCAATTGTAGGAACGCATGTTCACATTCCTCCGTCCATTGGAATGGCTTGCTTCCTCTCAGGGTGTCGAAGAATGGCATGCACTTATTCGTAGACTTCGAACTAAACCTGTTAAGCGCGGCCACACAGCTTGTCAGCTTTTGGACTTCCTTGGGCTTCCTTGGCGATTTCATGTCGAGGAGGGCCTAAATCTTTCCCAAATTGGCCTCAATCCCTCGACTATTCACCATGAAACCCAGGAATTTTCCCGACGCGACGCCGAACGCACACTTGTGGAGATTTAGCTTCATTTTGTATGTTCTGAGGACGCCGAACATTCTCCTGAGGTCCTCGACGTGGTCCTCAGCTTTCCTGCTCTTTACCAACATGTCGTTCACGTATACCTCTATTGATTTTCCTAATTGTCCCGCGAACATTTTATTGACGAGGCGTTGATAAGTTGCTCCCGCATTTTTTAGGCCGAAGGGCATGACTTTGTAACAGTAGAGGCCCCTGTCGGTGACAAATGTCATGTGCACTTCATCGTGGTCGAGCATAGGAATCTGGTTGTACCCGGAGTATGCATCCATGAAGCTCAGTAGTTCATGCCCCGCTGTGGCGTCGACCATCTGATCGATTCTTGGCAGCGGGAAGCTGTCCTTGGGACATGCTTTGTTCAGATCACTGAAGTCAACGCATGTTCGCCAATCCCCGTTGGGTTTCCGCACCAACACGGGATTTGACACCCATTCGGGGTATAGGACTTCTCGGATGAAGTTGTTCCTAATTAGCTTGTCGACGCTTTTGTCTTTTAGGCGGGCACTTCTCGTCGATGTTTAACATGTGACACATTATGTCGGGGTTTATCCCTTCCATATCTTCGTGCGTCCAAGCGAACACATCAAGGTTGCTTCTTAGGAACTCAACCAATCCTTTACGGGTCTGCCCCTCTAGCCCCGAGCCCACCTTCAGCCTCCTTGAAGGCTCTCTCTCATTGATGGGGACTTCGGTATATTCCTCAACCGGTCCCGATCCAGGCTCTTCCGTTGGGAGCCTCGGATCCAGGTCGAACCCTTCCGCTCTGGTCTCCACCATCCTCAATTCTCTTCGTACCTGTGTCGACTCCGCATAGTGGTGGACCGTCTCTGAATAAGTGAGCCTCGACTCGTACTAGTTTCCGTGGACCCTTCCGATCCCCATGGGAGTCAGAAACTTCATGGTTTGGTGGTTGATTAGTGTATGAAAATGCACCCTAAATACTGCTTTTGATTTATATAATATTAAAATATGTAAGCTTTAATTAAGCAATTCCATTATTTTTATTCATAATATTTTAATTGGAATTTGTCTAGTTTTTGCTTAATTATTTACAGATAAAAAGTAGTATAAAAAGCTACACTAAAATAAGCCATGAAAGCCATATTTTCAACAACACAGAGCCAAGCCGTTCAGCTAAGCCGAGTCAAAGCAGCCGAGCCAAGCCGCTACATCACTTTTCTCCATGTGGGCCCCAGCTCTTCCGCGCTTCCTGAATTTTCCTCGCGCGCGTCACTCGCACCGCCAGGCCACTAGAGCGCGTCATGTGCACGCACTATCTCTAGCGCATTCCAACTCAAATTCCGCGTGGCTCCCACACCTGCGACGCCAGCCTGCTTCTCCTTTCTGCAAGCACCAGCTGTCCTAGCGGGTCCCAGCTGTCCCCGCGATAGCCTTCTGCCAGCACACGCCAGCCACTCCGAGCGCGACACGTGGCGGCTCAATTCCCTGCCTCCAACCAAGCTTCGACACGTGTCCAGATGATGTGCTGAATCCGGATTTCTTCTCCTCAAATTACCAGATTTCTTCCCCAAATCAAATATATGATTTCTCCTAATTTATGTGTAATTTTATTTTATTTCCTTTTCTTTTATAATTTTCTAGTTTTACTATTTATTTCCTTATTTAACAGGCAACCTCTGAACACTATAAGTAGAGGGGTTAGCCTAAGGTTTTCAGGAGCTTTTAATATTCAGTTTTCTGTCGTCTTGCTGTCAGTCTCATATTTTCTCTCTAGAACTTGTGAGAATGTTTTGCAAGATAGGCTAGAGTTTTCTTAGTGAGGTTAGAGATGAACTTCTGTTGAGTGACCCAATTCGGGGTTTTGATTCCTTGTGTTGTAAAGTCCAACATCTGAATGAATTAAATCTCATCTATTTTTCTATTACTTTTTAAAATATTGTGTGCTAATTTTTATATAAGTTCAGTCACGCTTTTCTTATGTAATTATGTCACGCATTGTTTTGTCATTCAAATTATTTTACGAATTGTCTTTTACTGCAATATTATCGGATTGATATATTGTCAATTTTAGATAACTTGTAATAATAATATTTCTGGAGTCAACATACAGATTTAATTTATTCGGTTATTTAATATTGTGAATCAAAACTTGGATTGGTGAACGAAACATTAGGGATTCTCGACACCTTACCGTTTTTATTATTGAATTTTCTTCATACAAATTTCTTCCTTTTTATTTTATTTGCAACAAAATCTCAAAAACTCTTCATATTTCTTTAATTCACTTTTCTCTAACGCTCTTATTCTGTTAGTCATTCTTGTTATTTTGTTATCTCTCTGTGGATACGACCGCCCTTCTGTGCTACAATTGACCGCTTGTGAACATCACTTTTGGGCGTTAATCAGTGGTAAATGGATATGGCCGCCTTCAGTGCCCTCATCGTCGGGCGCCCTATGACCGCGTTGTATTGGTCACCTCCCTTCACTACTAAGAACTTCGACATGACAGTCGAGGTGTGTGGTTGGTCTCCAATGGTCATGGGCAGCTCTATCACCCCTTTAGGGATGACACTGTCCCCAGTGAAGCCATACAAGGGCTGTGCGCTGTTTTGCAGCCTTGCGCGGGGGATTCCCGTCTTGTCAAGGCAATCGGAGTACAAAATGTCCACCAAACTACCATTGTCGACCAGGATACGGCAAACCGTGTGGTTACCGATCATGGCCTCGACGACCAAAGCGTCACTTTGGGAGAAATGCACCCCATTCGCATTGGCCTCTGAGAAGGTGATCTCGGCCTCCTCGTATCGCGTTGTCTTGGCCTCACATCCGGAGACGTTCATGACCCTCCGGCTGAACTTTTCCTTTGCTTCTCGCACATAATCCTTCTGTGCACGATGAGAGGTGCCGCCGAGGTATGGCCCCCCAAATATCGTTCTTATGACGCTGACGGGCTCGGGCGGGTTGTCGTGCCTCTGCTCCTCTCGTCGGTTATTGTTGCGTCGGGTGTTGTTGTTCTGACGGTCGGCCTGGTACTCACTGAGCCTCCCTTCTCGGATCAACCTCTCAACCCCGTCCCTCAGGTCATAGCACTCAGCTGTAGTATGCCCACTCTCACTGTGAAACCGACAATACTTGTTTTGGTTTGTCCGCGCTGGGTCAGACTTCAGCGGAGTTGGTCGACGCAAGACTTAGAGGTGACTGATCTCGTGATAGACGTCCTCGATCCCCATAGTCAAGGGGGTATAGGCGTCATACCTCTGCGGCTTTGGTCGCTTATTTTCCCCCTGGCTCGTCGAGGCGCTACCACCCATGTTGCTTGGAGCGGGGTTATATCTCTATTCGGCTTGCACCGGAGGATGACCTCGACGCTTCTTACCGTTATTCTGATTGCTCGCCTGCCCTACCTCTTCCTTGACAGGGGCTGCCGCCTTACTCTTCAAGGCCTTCTTAGCCTCTTCGGTGTTGATGAATCCCTGTGCCCTTGTCAGGAATTCCTGGTAGGTATGGGGCGGTCTCCGATCGAGGTCTGTGCTGTAGGGGATATCCTTCTTCATGCTCAACAGTGCCCCCATCAGGGCTACCTCGTCGGATATTCCCTCTGTGGCGGTGACCTGTTCCCCGAACCGGGCTATCCAATCTTTCAGGGACTCGTTAGGCCCCTGGTACACACTTGACAGGTTTTGTTTAGGTGGGATATACTTTTTGATACCTATGAACTGAGTCAGGAAGGCGTTCTTCAAGTCATCCTAACTGGTGATGGAGTTCAGTTTTAAGGATCTGAACCATCTCCCGGCGGAATCTGAAAGGTGGTTCCTGAATGCTCGGCACATGACCTCCTCGGGGTATCCATGCAGGACCATATGCCCTGTGTAGACCTCCAGGTGGTCATCCGGGTCACTCCTCCCATCGTATAGCGGAATGGGGGGTGGTTTGTACCTATCTGGCAGTGGCACCCGAATAATGTTTTCTGTGAACGGGTGATCGTGGGATGTGTACATCTTGGCGTCGACATTGACCGCCTCGGCGACCTTTCCCACAACTTGTTCGAAGTTGTTTAATCGGCTCCCTATCTATTTTTTGAGCCTGGATATCTTCTCATCCAGGGCTTTATTCTCGGCCGTTAGCTCGTCTTCCCTGGCGCGATGGGCATCTCGGTCACGCCGAGCATTTAACTTTCCCCTGAGGTCTCTTCCGCATGCGGACGAGGATTCCACGGGGACGGCGTTCCTCCTGTTAGCATCGACCCGGGGCCGAGGAGGCGCGTCCTGGGTATTCACAGCTTGGGTTGCAACCCTCTCCTGAGGCGCGCCCTGATTATTCACGGCTTGGCCGTAGTCCTCTCCTGTGCTCTTCGCACGGATGAGGATTCCACGGGGACGGTGTTCCTCCTGTTAGCGTCAACCCGGGGCCGAGGAGGCGCGTCCTGGGTATTCACGGCTTAGGTTGCAGCCCTCTCCTGAGGCGCGCCCTGATTATTCACGGCTTGGGCCGTAGCCCTCTCTTGGGCTCTTCTCCTGGCCGCCCGCTGCCGGCTTCCCACAGACCTGTTTGACCTGGCTGGGCGGGGGCTGTTGGCCCCACTATCACCGACCCCATCGGCGTCACCACGTTGGTCACCAATCACTTGGTTCCCAACGGCGGCGTTCACCGGGTTCATCGGCGCATCCTCCAGCGGGGGCATCGAGTTTTGCCATTGGTGCCGCTCGGCGAGGGCTGTAGCCATCCTTTCCACGGCTGCAGCCAGTGTTTCGACCTGCTTCTGGAGCTGGTCAATACGGTCTGGGGGATTCCTAGCAGGCGACAGGGGTGGAGTCGTTGAGGTTCCTGCGGCGGCGGGAGCCTATCTTTCTGATTAGCTATCGTGCTGCGAGTGTTCTTCAAAGCCATGATTGTTGTTTCTCACTGGATTTGATTTCTGGGTTCAGCGGGCCCTCTTTCTAGTGCCAATTGTTGACGGTGTTTTTTCGACAACGCGTTACTTACTCTCCAAAGACACTCTCAATAACACTCGCGATTTAACTGAAGATTAAAATCGGGAAATAATGTAAATGAGACAGATTTATAGTGGTTCGGCAAGAACTCTTTGCATAATCTACTTGTGAATGCACTAATATCTTTTTAGATTACAAACCCTCTTGGAGTAATGAAATAGTGCGTAACCCCTTCTTCGGTTTTCTTGGCTATATTTATAGGCCTTTACATGTGATTATCCCTTCGCCATTCCCAAGGAGGAAGCCATCTTCCGTCCCTCGATTTACGGGTGGGTAGGTGAGTTTTCATGATAACAACCTCAGGAAATGCGGCTGATCCCTCTCATCTGCTGCCTGATTTCCTGACTCCTGCAGTGGCCGTTGGATCAATACGTCCTTCCCCGAGTTGATAAGACTGCTGATGGATTTGACTGGATACGCTGCCTCGACGCAGTGGCCTCCAGCAGTCGAGTCATGGTGGTCGACGCATCTCGTCGCATATGGTCTCTCGGCGTAAAGGCCACTTCAGCTGCAGTCCGCTCCCTCGACGCCAGAGACCGATCCTTGGCGGGGAGTGCTCGGCGCTTGTCGTTTGATAGAGTGGTCGATTCCTCGACCTAGTGTAACAGTTATTACTTAATTATATGCCGGCATAATCGATGTTTTTACTCTAAATCACTAATTAGCAAATCTATATTCTCTCGCTTTGTATATTCTCATTGTTCAAATTAATTTGGGCTTCTAGACGTTTTTTTCTTCATCATCTTCTAGACGATTTTAGTCGACGTTGTGAGAGTATGGTCGACTTGTACACATATAGAACTAGTCAATTTGGACTAAAACTCAATAGGCTTGACCCTTCTCTGCCACTAGATGGAGTGGGCGTATCAAAACTAAGCACGTACACCATCAAACCTAGCAGCCATGGTAATATTCAACACCTCATAAAGAAAAAAAATAAATTTTGACGGCATAAAATTCTCCTCTAAAATAGGAAAAGTACTAAGGACGTGACGCTACACAATAATAAATATGATTTACAGATGGGATCATTTTTAATTGAAAAATATTTGAGAACACTAGTAATGTTTAACAGCATAATTAATAAAAAATAAATTATCATATCTCTTAATAGTCAAGCGTTAGCATAGGTCATAACTCCATAAGATACAAAATCCCTTCTTTTCTTATTTGTTGGTTAGTTAAAGTGCCGGACAAGTCCAAACCAGCCCTTTTTTTCTTTTAGCCGCCTTCTCTTTCTACTTCTTTTATTCCCTCTGCATGTTCTGTTTATATTGACCACAAGCAAGTGTGAGTATAAATATAACTCAATATTGAAGGGAGGGAACAACACGCAAAGAAAGAGTGAAAGCAAACCAAAAGAAAAAAAAAAAAAAAAAGAGCAAACATGAGTGGCTTAGCTTCAACTCCTCGGACCTTGATCATCGGAGCCGGGTGCATGGGCCAGTTTGTTGCCGAAGCCTGCCTCGACGCCGGCATCCCCACCTATATTCTGATTCGGTCGACTCGTAACCCCCCTTCTAAAACGGAAACCATCAAGGCTTTGCAAAACAAAGGAGCTGTTATTGTACACGTACGTATGTCTAGTTCTTGTCATACATGCTCAATCTAATCTAATTATGTGTAAAAAAAGATGCAAAACATCTCATATTTTGTCTAAGTGAATTACATTGGTACCTAAAAATATCCTCTCACCCCGTTTGGTACGCATGATAGGACAATATTGAATAGAATAATTTTAAGGTAATGAATTGGAATATATAGGAAAGGATAGGATTAAATTTTAGTTTAATCCAATCCCATGTTTGGTGTTATTAGGATAGGGACTTTTTGTAAAAACTTTAATTAGAATTAAATTGCAATGTTTTTAAAATTTTAGGGGCAAAACTATAATTTTTGTAAAACATTTTAGACATATAAAATTGCATTTTGACCTCTAAATTTTTGAAAAATTACAATTGGATCCCAAATTTTATAAAAATTAGCAAATAGGTCCCTAATATTTTTGACAATAGCAACACCGTCTTCTAAAGGGATTTGAGCATGAGCTGGACAAAAGTTTATCCAATCCAGTCCTTTAAAAGGTTTACCAAACACAATATTAAAATTTAATTCTATCCAATCTTAAGCTCGAGGGAAACTGCCCCAAAGGCTCCTTACACTTTCACCCCTAATAAAAAAAAAAAAACTAGTTTTAAAAATCGGTCTCAGAGTACCGAAAGAAAGTTTCTTTAAAAGTGAAGGTATCATTTAAATATTATTAAAAATACGGGATACCAACGATATGTTTTGCTATAATAAAGGATACCAAAATGATTTTATCCCCAAAAAAGGGTTAATTTTAAAAATTCTTTTCTAATAATTAGTGTGTCACCCCAAATTCAAATTTCTTAATTACAGTTTCAATGTAAATTTTTTGGTAAAAACTTTAAAATGGAAATTAAGTTCTTTCTGTGATAACTTTAGTTTAATCAGAAGAAGAAAATAGAAATATATATATAAAATAAAAAATAAAAAATAAAAAATAAAAATAAAAAAACATCAATATGAAAAGAGAGAAAAATAATAGAAGCTCGTTGTGATTCTATTAGCTCAAAATTTTGGTTTAATTAAAGAAAATTTTCTTGAGTTCGTTGTTGTATATTTATATCTATATATTATATAATAATTTTATCATATGATTGCTTATAAATTGTAAATTATATTCAGGGTTGCATTGAAGACCAACCATTGCTGGAGAAAATTCTGAGAGAGCACAAGATTGAAGTAGTGATATCAACTGTTGTTTGCTTTTTGGAGCAGCTTCATTTAGTGGAAGCTATCAAAGCTGTGGGAACTGTTAAGGTATAACTATTAACTAGTGTGGCCTAGCCATTATTTGGAAAAAGGCAAAGTTTGTCATTAAAGTGCAATATTTTGGGGACAAAAAAGAACAAAAGATTTCCAAGGCTAGTATTTTTTTTCTTCTACTACTTTTTTTTTTTTTTTTTTTTTTGCTCTGGAAAAACAAATATGTCCAAGTTGGCTAGTTAATTAAGAGGAAAAGTTAGACAAAATCATGCTGAAATATAGAAAAAAAAATACAAATAGCAAAAGTTAAAATCATTAAAGAAATATTACTAGGTAATTTTACAGTATAGAACACAAATATCATTAAATTTTACGTATCATTATAGTTATTACTATGTAATTTTGCTATACCCAAAATATTTATAAAAAAAAATGTTATACTTCAACTCCACTCTTATAAACTTATATGACATGTAATTTGTACTTATTAAATACTCCCTATGGAAAAGTTCTCTTCTACCTTTTTGCAACTGAAAAGGGTAAATGCTATGTAAAACTTACTATTTGTGAGTCAACATGCATCTGTAAGGCCCAGTTTTTTGAGAAAGAAAATTGAAAATAAAATGTTTTAATCTATTAAAAGTTGACATATCACAGTGGGATTAAAACTCCATAGAAATGCTCTGTAAGAGATAGTCACGTACGTAGATTATATTTCTTACAAGAAACATTATTTTATCATTACTTTCTGTATTTATCGTCCTAGCTAGTAATTATTATCCGTAAAACACACAACATTCACATACATATATACATATTTCTATGTATATTTTTACATATAGGACGACTAATGTATATAACATATTTCTATATATATATATATATATATATATGAGAGGAGGTTTGTTTTTTTTTTTCCTGAAAATATGAGCAGAGGTTTTTACCATCCGAGTTTGGGCACGACGTAGACAGAGTGGATCCAGTGGAGCCGGCACTATCATTGTACAAGATAAAAAAGAAGGTGAGAACAGAAACCGAGAAGGCAGGAATCCCCTACACTTACATATGCTGCAACTCTATTGCTGGTTGGCCCTACCATGACAACGTCCATCCAAGTGAAGTTCTCCCACCCTTGGACGCGTTCAAAATCTACGGTGATGGCACTGTCAAAGGTAAAATTACCCTAGTTAGTACTACTGAAATAAGAAACTACAGATACGTCTACGTTTTTCAGCTATTAAATTTATATTTTATATATATTTTTTAATTTTGATATAATTTTGACCATATTCATCGATTATAAACGTGTACTAAGAAAAAACCTAATTGTAGGAGACAGATTGAGACAATCTATATTTAAAAATTTAAAGTCCTAAACATATGGTGCTATCTCTGAGGAAATTTCTGTGGTGTAAGTTATACAATAATGTTGGCCCACTTGTAAATATCCTTGGACTGAGAGCTACAATCCAATGGTTGCTAGAGTACTGCAGAAATGGGTGACCCTTCTTGTCTGATAAGTGACGAATAATTAAGGTGGAAAGTAGATTTTGGTATTTTATTTGGTCTTAATTAAAAAAAAAAAAAATACTTGAGACTATTCATAGAAGATAGATTCTATTTTTAAACCTATACTGTGGAATCCATTTTCTTTTTATTTTGTTGTACTCAACACCATTAGTACCCTCTTAACATTGTTTTATCCCAAAGTTTCTTAGGATCATTAATCATATCTATTGGATTTACATTATGATGCAGCATGTAAACTGGTATATTTACATTCAAATTTTAAGATGATTTGCTATTTGATAATTTTTTTTTTTTTCAGATTAGATTTGATTCTTTATTCAAATTAGATTTGATTTCGAAATTAGAATAGGGTTATTTTAAATTTCTATTTTAAAATTGGCTTAGTTTCCTTTATTTTAGTTTCTAAAATTAGATTGGGTTAGTTTCATTTATTTTGATGTTTGTATTGTCTATTTAAAGAGGATTGTAGCATTGTCATTTGCAGTTGATTGATTAGTAAAATTTCAGAAATTATTATCTTGCTTTGCTTATTTTTTTGCCTCGTTCATTTCACCGATTCGAGTTTTCAGTTTTAGGTTTCTACAGTAAAAAGTTCTCAGAAAACTTCACATCTAACTTTTTCTGATATATTAAAAAGCTCTTAAAAAATGTCACATCTCAGCTCGAATTGAAAACTTGAATCCGCGAAGTAAAAAGGCCTTTGTATTCTTTGAATCAACAAACTACTCGTACTCTCGTTTTTAGTATTGTCTACGCTTCTGCTACATCACATAAAATGTGGTCAGATATCAAAAAAGAATTATGCTGTTATACCTACTTATATACACCATCCAATTTATGTCATTCGGTTAAAGTCAACGGTAGAATTTTACTTTTAAATATCATTATTGATCAATTCCTTTGGTTTTTACTAAGCTGCCTTTTGTTTCAATTACATATTGCATGTAATACATTATTGCATAAACGATTTGATATCATAACGATGACATTATGTGATTGGACTAAAGTCGGTGATAATCACAACTCAACATGATGATACTTAAAATTGCTTTTGACCAAAGTTTTTCTTTATTATGTAAAAGTCATTTCATTCAGACATTAATGCTAGGGAAAACGGAAAAAGAAATTTGCTAATCACTAATCAATTAGATTGATTTAAGATAGTAATTAGATTGGTTTGGGACACACATTACGTTAGTTTCATCTCATTCTTGTTGTTGAGTTGTTACAAGTTACAAACTAGTACAGTTTTTCTTTTCCATTTATTTGGCTCATAAAATATGTTTGGCAAGTAATGATTTGTATTTTTATTATTATTATTATTATTTGAGCACAGCTTACTTCATTACGGGTTCTGACATTGGAAAGTTTACTGCAAAGGCGATAACGGATGAACGAGCAGTAAACAAAACAATTCATTTTCGACCGAAAAGCAACATGTTTAATGTGAACGAGCTTGCATCTTTGTGGGAGAAGAAGATTGGACGAACTCTCCCTAGAAAATTTATGACTGAGGAAGACCTTCTCACTGCTGTTAAAGGTCTCAAATCTCAACTTTATCAGTTTATCTTTACTTTATACATGCGTGTGTGTCGGTATGAGGTCCAATTTCTAAAATGGAGGGAAAAAAAAAAAACACCCATTGAAAAGCACAAATGAGAAAGTTAAAGCAGTAATTTTACTTTACGAAACTTAAAAATTTTGAAGCTAAACACACAAGTTAATTGTAGTAGGGTATATAAAGAAAAGTTTACGAGTAAGATACGGTTCTAAATCGTTAAATCACGTGAGAATCATATCAAATTAATAAGAGTATGATAAATTAATATAAATTGATAAAGATCTAACAGTTACAAAATGGAACTTACCGACAAAGTATTATTGCACGTCGTAGTACCTGAAAGTTCTCCCATTTTGAACAGTGCATCTTATTGTTCTATTTGACACAAACATAGATATTTGGTAGTTTAATTGAACAATGATTATAATGTAGCAAGTACATCAAAAGCAGGAGTGTCTTTTAAAACTTTAGTTCCTCTGATTCTTGCTACAAACATTTGCAACAAATGGCAAATCTAACTGTACACATCTCTATATTACCTTGAAAGGACAATTAACATTTCAAAATCTTAAAGACGTATATTTGTAATTTACACTCCAAATTTTAGCTGAAGAACCAAACACAAATGCCAATGTCATCAGAGCACAAGCCGACACTGATTAGCATATAACTACTTATATGTCTTTAGGACTTGAATTTGAATTTTTTTTTTTTTAGAGAAAACACTACAGTAAAAAATCTTAGGTTGTGAAAAGAATAAGGTTGAGAGCCCGTTTGTTTGATATACTTAAACTTAAATTATTGATTTTATTTTCCTCTCATAAAAAATTTAAATTTCAAATGTCAGAATCAATAATTATGATCAAATGTTAGAATCAAAAATCATAGTTTGAGTAGACCTTCTAAAACAAGCCCTGAGAAACTAATTCCTTTTTTCTGGCTTTCCAATTTTACAGAGCTACCACTTCCTGGAAACGTCGTTTCAGCTCTTACTCATGACATTTTCATCAAGGGTTGCCAAGTTAGATATTCATTGGACAAGCCCGCTGACATCGACGTGTGTTCTCTCTACCCGGACACGCCATTTCAATCCATGGATGAGTGCTTCGATGAGTTCATCGCAAAGTTTCCTGAAGCTTTGAGAGCTCCTTCTCACAACTAGACCAGAACTGGTCATAACATGAAGACTTTGAACACTAATTTGCTCGTACGAACAAATGAGGTTTCTATGTCTGTCTTGAATAAATTCACATGATGTATTTGCAGCTAATAGATAATTCTGTAACTCAAGTTTGAGTTAACCTTTCTTTAGCATGATTGAATCTCTAGTTTGGGATATTTAGCACAAGAGGAAAGACAATATAGGGGAGCTGCTGTGTGGAACAATTCCCCATATCCTAGGAAAATTAAAGAAACAAAGAAAGAAAAGACTCTTTCCTCAAAAGAGAATAATATTAATAACAAAAAAATTCGGCTCTTTGTAGTTTTGAGATGTTATTGTTGATGGAATACGGGAGGTACTTGTATTTCCTGTATCGTTTAAATACCAGCAGAATATTAATGGAATGGAAACCATCATGCTCTTACCATGTTATTTTTTCCATTACTCATCGTGTCCAAGTTCAAGGTAAACAAAAATTTAAAAAAAAAAAAAAAAAAAAAAAAAACAATTATATTAAGTACTAATACCCATGGCTGTTGAATTAGGGATTAAAAAAAAAATTGACCAAATTAGGAATCTGACTTTTTAACAGTCTAACCCTTGAACTCACTTATTTACTTTCGTGCCATTCTCACTTATTCACTTATTTACTTTTGGGTGTTATAGTGTTCAGGAAAAAGTATAGTTTGGCATTCCTCTAGATTTCCCGCTTTTTTAGTTTTGAAAAAAGAGAGAAATAAGTCAAGACTTGAGATAAATTAAAATTAATAGGCCAATAGTTTACATAAATTAATAAATAGGTCAAATTACTGTTTTCGTCCATAATTTATCTGGTTATGAACCATAACTTAATAAGTTATTACCCATAATTGTTCATAACTTGTCTGGCTATGAACTATAACTTAAAAAATTTATCCATAATTTATCTGTTTATAAACAATAACTTAACAAGTTATGGTCTATTAATTTCTATAACTAAAAATTAACCTATATACTTTCTTAAACTTTTCATATTGGCCTATTTTCTACTATTTCCCTTTTAATTTTATACAAATCTCAGCGTCAGCATGTTATGAGGATTATTGCTGTGTTCACCATGAAGCAAAAACAGAAGACACTGTCATTGTCATTTATGCAAAGACCATTCTCAAACCGTAAATTGCAAACTACAAATTCCAAATTTCTACCCTATTTCAAATGCCATCCTATAAATAATTCTGAAAAACCAATTTTCTTTAAAGTAGATCCCAGTCTGTGTCGTATAAGAAAAATACGTACGAGGCATAAGACTTTAATGTAGATTCAAAATTAGCATATGACAAATACTAGAACAAGCTTTGCTACGAAATTTGAATGAAACATTAGTTGGATGTATGAGAATATAATACAATGGTATGTGATGCAATGTCATCCGTACTGCTGTTTGATCTAACACATGTTTAGTACAAGTGAAGTTAACATGTTGGAGCAAAATGTCAAGTATATAATGTAGTCCACAAATAAAGTTAACTAAGAACATAGAAAAAACGGTGAGAAAATAAGTGCCCGTTGGGCTCATAGATTTGAATAGAAATTCAATTTTTTATGAGACAAACAATGTAGCATAAAGGTTTGAACTGTGGTTCAAACCCACAAAACAAACAGCATATAAGAAATGTGTATCCATGGAACAACTGATATCACTGCCTGGTACTCTCTACATCACCTCTCTGAAATTAGAGAATCAAAAACTTGCAGAGAAACCTAGAGATAAATCGTCATATAAACATAAAGATAGTTAATTGCATGGAAAAAACTTGCAACCTGCTATCAAATTACTTTACTTTCGTAATAGTTTAGATTATTTACAAATTATACTTTAAACGAGACAAAATCTACATCCTTTGTCCCCGACATAGTCAAAGCAACTGTTACCTGTACTTCCCATCCTTTGTCAATTTGTTCGAATAAGCAGTACTCATCACCATCACACAAGTATAGATGAACTATACCAAAACTTGTTCCATGTAAGGTTATTATACTCTTTGCACCAAAATCCTCGTCTCACAAAGCAGAGGTAGTTAAAACTTAAACATCATATACAGGTAATCTTTCCTCGATCGAAATACGGCATATTGGACACTTCTTACACTTCTCACAGCAGGTACTGCAACAACAAGGAAACTCAATAAGCATCACAGCGAAAGGGAAAAAACGGTGGCAAATTGAATGCCTGAGCTTCATAGCAGGTGCACTAAAATATAATACTAAATTGTACCTGCAAAGTACACGATGCCTACAAGGCAGCAGGACCACACTAATCTCTCTCTCAAAGCAAACCCTACACAAAACCTTTTCCTGACCAGCACAAAAGAGAGCATTTAGGAAGGATAGTTAATTTTTTACAGATGAGAATTAATTTAGGCGACAAAAGATCTCAAGCAAAGTTTAAGCCATCTTATCCAGTTTCTGTACAAAAGCAGACTGGCACTGGGCAAAAGGAAAAAGAAAATGACTGGTCAAAAACTGCTCAATTCCAAACTAAAACAGGCCCTCAAGATATTTAAGAATTTATAATTCTATATGCTTGTGTTTTGATTTTCACATGAGCACGGTATCGACCAACATACTAATGCATGTGAAGCTCGATGAATTACAAGAACTTTAAAATCTAACTCAAAAACGGAATAAACCTTTGCAGATGTTATTTTTATTGTTGTGCTGGGTTAAGTATCGATCTATACAAGCTGTGCTAGATAACATAGAGCCTTGTATTGTGCGATTTCTGTCAAACAGTAAAACCCTGATAATTTAACCACATTCCATCTCTTTTACCTACTAGTAGTTTTATATATCAAAAAGAGAAATAAATAAACACTTGCAGTCCTGCCGAAAAGATCCCAACTAACATGGTCCTACAGGCAAGCTAAAGCCTAGATTACAAAACTCCTAGTATGTTAATCATTGCTTCCACTATCACAACTACATTGTGTTAGACTCTAGACTTAATTAGTAAATTGTCATCCGTCCAGGATGTCATTCATGCGAATGTTTGTTATTATAGTTTTATATATCAAAAAGAGAAAAATAAATAAAAACTTGCAGTCCTGCCGAAAAGATCCCAACTAACATGGTCCTACAGGCAAGCTAAAGCCTAGATTACAAAACTCCTAGTATGTTAATCATTGCTTCCACTATCACAACTACATTGTGTTAGACTATAGACTTAATTAGTTAATTGTCATCCGTCCAGGATGTCATACATGCGAATGTTTGTTATTATAGTTTTATATATCAAAAAGAGAAAAATAAATAAAAACTTGCAGTCCTGCCGAAAAGATCCCAACTAACATGGTCCTACAGGCAAGCTAAAGCCTAGATTACAAAACTCCTAGTATGTTAATCATTGCTTCCACTATCACAACTACATTGTGTTAGACTATAGACTTAATTAGTTAATTGTCATCCGTCCAGGATGTCATTCATGCGAATGTTTGTTATTACTCTTCTAAGAGCCTATATCAATAATTATACAGCTCTAATGCTCCAACTTTTTCAGCAACTCCAGCTTTGTGTCTATGGAGTATGCACCAACATATCCAAGAAATGGATTCTAATAAATTAATGAAGTTCATAGTTTAGGTAAATCCTTTTAAAAGGTTTATAACTGAAATTATACCATCCAAAATTATTTGAAAACTCAGTTCTGAAAGATCCAGAATTCAAATTAAACCCTCCAAAGAGTCAAAAAAAAAAAAAAAAAAAAAACACTAAACTGGAGGAGCGTCTTGTCAGCGACTCAGGAAATCAAAGTAAATTGGTAATTACCATGTTAAACTAAGAGTCCTAGGTTTAGTTGGACTGACTGAAAATCGAATTACTCCGCAAAAGATTAAGTTTAAAACAAAACTCTCGACTATTTGACTTTGAACTAACCACGTGCCACGTGCAATTCAAAATAAAAATCAAAACAGCAATATTAAATTGAGAAACACAGCAACCAGGAGCAACAGCTTCCAACACAAGGTTGTTTAACTTGCAAATTCATAGATATATCCATGACAAGAAGAACAACTAGTAACAGATGAGAAATGATGAAAAAGAATTACATTTTGGAGTCTTTCAAACTCCTGCTGGCTGTATTTGGTGATTTCTGTCTGTTCCCCAAGAGCTGCTTGAAGTCTCCAGACCTGAGATATTAGATATTGTAGAAATACAATTGTTAACATATAAGATATTCTAGCATAACGGTTGTATAGCTTTTGAAAGCGGCCCACGCAGAATCTGAAGAAAAGAATAAACAACTAGAATCTTCAATAAGAACCAATAAACACAACATAAATGAAATAGAAAAAGTATAATCACCTCCTCAGCTAGATCCTTTTTAGGCATTTTCTTTACTATCTCAGGTGGATAACCACAGAAAGTGTTATATCTGCACGGTAGAAACCAAATATTAAAAAATTAACAAAATGCTTCTGCTAGGAACTTCTGATGATTTGCAAGATGCTGATGAGAGTGCTAGATCCTAAAAGCTAAAAAGTCACTGCTGACAGGTCTAACAACACCAACTATAAGATTAAGGTTGCGTTTGGTATGAGGGTTTAAATCAGGGTGGTTTTGATTTTAGAACCAAAACCATGATTCATGATTTGAACATGTGGTCCAAACCATGGTTCTGGAACCGGAATCAGAACTAGGGGTTTGAACCATTCAAAATCAAGAGGAGGGGGGTGGTTTTATTTTTGCGGTGGTTTTAGTTTAAAACATCACATCAGCGTCCAAAGCTTGAACCAGAACCATCCAAACTAAATAATGGCTTTCAAGAACCATTTTTTACTTTTTGCAAACAAACAAAGGTTGGAACTAGAATCATGGACTCCGGTTCTAGAACCCTCATACCAAACGCAACCTAAAGTTTTAAATTGCATATAAACCAATGAAGAAACATGCAAATTTCATATTAGTTCAACGAATCATTTACAAAAATGGAATTGATATTAAGTGTAAACTAAAAATATATATAATTCTTTTGATCAATACACAATGAACACAAATTGCTAACATCGATTAATGCATCACAACAGATAAAGCTTGCACAACATTCCAAGATGGTCTAGACTTGCTGCAAAAAGGCAACAATATTAAGTGATGAAATGATTACTTAAAAGCATTGTTTTTAATTGCATTCTTTTTTTTTTTTTTTTTTGGCATCAAGGCTTAAACCTCGGGGCCTTTTTTTAAAGGCTATGCCTCATTGCATTATCAGTTTTTGTGCTGGAAAAAAAATGCCCAAACCTGCTATAGTTTTTGACAATAGAAGTCCAAAACAACCACTATCAATTTCTAAGTAGAAACCAAAAAGAAAACCCATTTTTATGTTTCCGCTTTCCGTCCAGACTGCTCCTCTTGTTTCTGTTTTCTCTGCATCCTTCCATGCTGTTGCCTTCCATGCTTCTCCTCCTTGGGATTATATTGGTTATAAATTTTAGACTTTTCAAGTCTTGCCATTATGAGACTTATTCACGTTGGACTTTTGCCTTTTATTTAGTGCTAATATGAATTTTTATGAAGTTAAGACACCAATAATAGAAATCGTAAGAATTTAATGCTACTTTATGGTGGATAAACAAAAATGGTAAGTAAGGAACTTTAAGTCAAACACAATGACCAACTAAGTAGAATTAAAAGTTTAAAACAAGGATCACTTCAGAGGTTTATTAGATAAAAAGAACTCAAAAATTGCCCACAGGTAGGGAAAATGTGTTAGGAACCTAATATTTAGAAGTCTTTTTGAATAGTCTTAAGGAGAGTATAAATAGGGGGTGTTTAGTGGCTAGGGATGGGATAATCAGATTTGTAAAGAGTGTCTAGTGCTGTGCACTATTTTGGAGGTCGGGGGTCCTCGAAATCGCCCATCTATCTTGTAATTTTCCATTTCTAGTATTGTGAATGAAGCATAGATTTTCAGGATCCTAACAATGGTATCAGAGCATCTACGATCCATGGAGCTTTTTGAGTTAAGAGAGAAACTTAGGGCTGTTCTAAGAGCTAATCTCAAGGTTTCCGGAGGGAGTATGGGGGCTCCGGGACCAGGTGGGGAAGGTTCGGACTCAGATGGAAGACGTGCAGGCGGTGCTGCGGAGGATGGAGGCACTGCTAGCGGCGCGGCCGATGGCCAGGAAGGCCGAGTTGGGTCGCGACAGCGATCGACGAGATGGGCAGAGGCGAGATCACGCGCCTCGGGGCGAGGAGAGCCCAGATCGCGTCGACCCAGGCAGAGTGGAGGTGCCAAATCGGGCGGATCTTCGCCGGGAAGCGCCGATTCGCGAAGATCGAGGCCGCGCGAGGGAGTTCCGACGCCAGAGAGGCGTGGGTCTCATGGAGGACCGCGAGATCCGTCGTGATCTGGGGCTGGGTGGTCCGGATCTGCAGCGTGAGGGGTTGTTTGACGACTGGAGGAGGGCGGATGGAGGTCGCGACCGTCGGGAGAGGGCGGCGGAGCTTGTTCGGCGACGGGAATAGGAGTGGGAACCGGAGTTAGAGGAGGAGAGGCTTGCTCCGGGGCTGGGATGACATGGGTACCCTCGGAACAGGGAACCCATCCCTGTTTCAGTCGCGGTTGGGGCTGATTCCGGACCGATTGGGACCGGGCCTCGCGATTCCGGCGTGAAAGGGGCTGAATCCGGTTCTACGGAGACAGATCCCGGCGCAACGGAGGCTGGGCTCGACGATTTGGCTGCTGTTTGGACCGGGCCTCGCGATTCCGGCATGAAAGGGGCTGGTTCCGGTGCTATGGAGGAAGATTCCGGCGGAATTGGAGTGGGGTCCATGAATTCCGACGCCCTTAAGGCTAGGTTTTGTGATTTTGACGCCATTGGGGCTAGCTCCGGCGAGATGATGGCTAGGACGGGGAATTTCGATGCGAAATCCGGCGATTTTGGGGCTGAATCCCAAAATTATGTTCGGAAGTGGGCTGGGTTTAGTGTTTTTGGTATGGGTAGAGTCAATTTTGGGGTTGGGCCTACTAATTACAATATTAGTAGGGCCTAATTCTGGTGCAATGGCAGTCGAGCCTCAAAACTTTAACACGTTTGGGGCTGGGAATGGTACGATTGCATATGGGAATGAAGAAATTGGTGAGAGGGAGGCTGAAAAGTTGATGTCCTGGTTGGCTAAGAAGGAAACTCCCTTAGTGAGGATCGATTTGCCAATATTTTTTGTGACCATTGATGAGCTTGCGCAGAGAGTTTCAAATGAATTGATAGACTTTGTGGTTGCTTTCCAAGATACAAAGAAGATGGTGAAAAAAGTAATTGATTGGCTCCAATTTGAAGATATGACTTACGAGGACAACATCAATTTGGTTACTCAAATCAAGGAACTAACAAAGCCTTTTATTCTTAATCATTTAGATGTTATTTTTCAATTTTATTTCTTGATTTTCACCTTGAGGACAAGGTGATTCTTTGGGGCGGGGGTAATGTTAGGAACCTAATATTTAGAAGTCTTTTTGAATAGTCTTAAGAGAGTATAAATAGGGGGTTTAGTGGCTAGGGATGGGATAATCAGATTTGTAGAGAGTGTCTAGTGCTGTGCACTATTTTGGACGTCGGGGGTCCTCAAAACCGCCCATCTATCTTGTAATTTTTCATTTCTAGTATTGTGAATGAAGCATAGATTTTCAGGTCCTAACAAAATGCTTCGACCAGATTTAATGTTCAACAAATATGACTTAATGCGTAGCCTGTCACCTAATATTGGACACCACACTCCACCAAACACCAAATACTTTTTGTTGACCCGAATTGTAAATAGCATGACTTGAAACATTTTACTTTTGCATGATTATCATTACCTCTGAAAGATTACTTTCTATATAGAAACTGTTCGTATAGGAAGTTCAAGCAGTAATCTACCTTATTCTTAAAGATTTTGTATCTACAACTCATTTTCCTTACCCTTTTCTCTTAGCAAATACACAGCAAGATAGTAGAAAATATCAAATTACTTTCTCACAATAATCACAATGAACAACATATTAAACCACTTTTTTTTTTAATAAGAAACTGGTAGGAATTTTAAGAAATGCTAAACTGCATTTATGGATAGTGCAAATTTCAGAAACTACAATCAATCTGGGAAAAAAATAATAATAATAAAATAAAATAAACTACTAACCCTGAAGCACCCTCATGAAATAGTCGGGCCTGCTCTTCACGACTTCCTTCATCAATAGACCACCATCCAAGTAGCCTACATTTAAAATATAAAAAGAAGAATTAGTTCAAAGTACTTGCACTATACTTGATGCTTAACAGAATACAAAGCTAAAGATCTTCCCCGTTTCAAGGTCTTCCAATTCAAAGTACAGATGATTGGACAGTGGGGAAAAAAAACAAAAAAAAACAAAAACAAAAAACAAAACAAAACAACTGAAGATGGGATGGGGTGAGAAGGGGGAACTCTTACCTCGATCCATGGTGTAAGAACCCCAAGCAATCATGAACTCTAAAAGAAAATCTAAAATATGTTCCTGTGTTGGCTCCACTACGAAGTAAGAGAACAATTTTTTCCACCAACCTACATGCAGCAGCAAGTACACCAATACCTTGGAGTAAGAGAAGAGGAGAAAAGAGAATAGGCAGTGGGATTCTCCTTGCACTATCAGGGGTTCCCTGAAATTTGAAACCACAGCAACTCGGTTAATAGGATTCCCAAAACAGAAACAATAAAAAAAACTAAGAAAATGGCATTACCTCAAGACGCATACAGAGGAGAACTTGAAAACCAATTACAGGAATTTTCATAATATGCCCACCAATGTCTTGTAGGCCACACAATCTATCCTGATCTTGATCCTCCTCTGCAGAAACTACTAATCCACTGTTCCAGTCAAGATATCTAATAGCTGTAGAAGATGAACTGGCTTCTCTTGTATGAGAACTTCTATGAATCACTGGATTAGACCACTTTGTACAGACAAGAAAGGCAAAGCACTCCGCAATACTGTAGAAAGGAAAAATTATCAGCTTTTCATAATCCAAAGTCATAGACACAGTTTTAAACTATTTAAGCAACCCCCATTACAAAAATGAATAAACAGTACCCAAAATTTATGAACAAGTCCCACCATCCAAGAGCCCCTACATCACCTGCAACAAATTTAAAAAAAAAAAATAGATTAGCCTACCAATAGCCACGAATATAGAACATCAGATATTTAGCATAAACCATCCACAGTATACGATCAGGAATATAAAGGACCAAATAAATAATGCATAATCCTGCCTTTAGACTTTTGCACCCAAAACCTATCATCTTAGTCCCGACAAACTCCCCTACCTATACTTGAGGAGGTCAAAGACAAACGTTCAAAACAATTTAGCAACCATGTTTTTATTCTTTTATTTTATTCTAGTTCATTATTTATTATTATTTTTAATGTTGAGTAGTGCAAATCTCAGTAAGTTACTAATATGATGGATTCAAGTACCCTTCCAAAAGCACTAGGATTAAGAGAGAAGTTGAGAATTTGATAGATAACCGTTTCGATAGAAAATCCACTTCAAGACTAATCCAAAATAAATAATGCACAAAAGAAGCAAATCTTTCCAGGCATTCAGCTAAATAAAGGTACAAGTAACTGAATTGAGCTTCTTCTAAGGGCATGTTTGTTCCATATACTCAAACTCAAATCATTGATTCAACTACAGTGTTTTTTTCTCACAAAAAATTTAAATTTTAAACATTAGAATCAAGAATCATGGTTTGAGTATACCTTCCAAACGGGCCCTAATTGGCTTGAGCCATACACACCACAGTTCAAGTTAGACTAAAGACCAAAGATTAAGTTGTAACCGATGTCAAATGTGGAACTTTCTCTTATCGGAAAATTCAGGAGCCATAAGTCTCGCAATGGAGAAAAAAAATACAAGAAGAAGAAGAAGTCACAGTGAACCATTGCAGAGACCCTCTAAACATCCATGAGCCAAGAGGCTGTCAACCTACATTTTTCAATTCTGATGTTGGGTCAAACTTAGTTCGCCAGTATGAATAGAAAGCCCACTTAAGCAAGGCGCTTGAGAGCAATTTATATAAGGTTCATCAAGATATTGCTCAAATTGCTATAAAACGTCATGCCAATGTTCCATTGTTTGCACGGTTAGGGCTACATAACAAGGAAAAAGGCTACGCGAGTGTACAATCCAGGAAAACGACAATAATAGGGGTTCACATTACTCATCGGATAAGAAGTTGCATTTAATAATATTGAAAAAAATATTTGTAATCATTTCACAAGTGTAGGAGAAGAGAAGTTACCACATAGCTTTAGCAGGGTGAAGATTGTAGCAGCAACAAAGAAGACCATGGAAATTGCAACCCAAAAGTGCTACATACAATCAAAGAGGATATTAATGAAGAGTAATTAAAAAAAAAGTAATTCTATCACCTTCACTTTTTAAAAAAAAAAAAAAAAAACAAAGGAAGTAGTTCTGGTTTATACAAGTATATAGATATTAATTATACTCGGAATGAAGGCAAGCCTAAGGAAATCAGTCCAACTCTGTTCCAAAGAAAAGCTTTATCGAATCAAATCACATCCCAAATGTCATATTCTAATGAATCTTTTTCTTTTTTTTGCCCCTTCAAATAGTGAATCCTCAAACGCGCTCAAGTTGTTGTTTTTCTTCTTTTTTTCCCCCTTCAAATAATGAATCTTCAAACGTGCTCAAGTTGGTGAGTTGTAGACAGAAATGTTAAATTACCAACTGGCAACAGATGTTTTAAAACTTGCAGCAACTTACGCTACTGTTTTTAAACAAGATTGTGTGTCCTTGAAAACTATTTCAAACAAAAAAAAAAAAAAAGCTAAAGGAGAGACAAAAAGAAATACATACTAAAAACAATTAAAAGCAACTAGGATAATTTTAGGAACCCAAACATGTAGCAAAAGAGCAAAAAGAATAAATAACATGGTTCATAATTCCTCAACACCAAGTACATTGCTCTTCAGTTTCAGTCCTTCCAGATACACCAGAAATTAATTCCTGGTAATAAGTTATCGTGTTAACTTACGTACAGAATTTAAGACGACAATTTTTTCATGAGGCCTAATGTTATCATCTCACAATTGTTTCCAACTTGTTAGATAAAACTGCAGTCATGAACCAAAATAAAGAATAAAATTCAATCTCTTTTCCAATCAAACCAAGTCGACTAGCCCCACAAAGTAAACTTTATAGTAATATCGAACTTCCAGCAAGAGTAGAAAAATGCACACAATGATTAAATTCTAAATCCTAATGGACCTGACCCCAAAAAAAAAAACAATAGGTAAGGTAGAAACTACTGAGTTTTTGCTAACTAAAGAAATTTAATACAAAGCTAAAACTATAAGTATACAACAGATAGAACATATATTCTAATGGAGAAAACAATTGCTCATTGACTGGCATATACGTGTAACTCCTATTAGTAGATTCACGTCCAAATTCAAAACTTTGCATGGATTCGACAACAATACAAAAAAAGGGAGTCTGGGCACTCGTTGCTCAGGTGGAAACTAACTTAGTTAAGTATGGAAATTGGAAATATCAAATTGATCTTAAACTTAATATGACTTACTGGAAGTGTCTCCCATATAGCCTCATCGCTCATGTTTTCATCGTCACCCGGCATTAAAGCCCTACACATTCTGTAAAAGAAAATGGCAGATAAAATACCAATCATAACGTTTGCAGCAAATGATAAAGAGGGAAGGGATGGGGAAAGGTCAAAATTTGTAAGGTACTGTATGCTGCTCAAAAATGACACAACGATCTCTATTTCAAAAAATAATAATAAAAAATAGTTATAGCAAGGACTCACAGAACAGGAGTATTGACAATTATTTAATGAAGCAGGATGGTCGTGCCTAGGTGGACACCCAAACATTCGTATAAGTATCAGAAATGTAGGTGGAAACGTGAAATCTACCTTTTCAAGCATGACTAAAATTTCTAAGCAGAGCATATGTTACAATATTACTCTTTTGCTACTGAAGATGATGAAGACATATTCCATTAAGAAAAGTATACAGATCTATTTTGTTTCTGAATATAAAGGTTTCTCAAACACGTTTAAGTTGTTAGTTATGATAGAAGCAAAATTGCCTGCATGGGATGCCAACAACCAGAAGAGAAAAAGGAAAGGTGATAAAGTCAAAAAGAAAGGGAGAAAAAAACCAGGAAACAGTGGAACTTGATGCGTACTGAAAAAAATTCTGTTCATGGTTAATCATAGAGGTTAATCATCTATGATCATAATAGCTATAAAATGGAAGAATAAAATAATAAAACAATTATAAAGTTCATCATATCAAATGTTACCATTCCAAATAAAATCAATAGGAAATGGGGACAGAAAAATGGTACTTAGAGGCCAATCAGCTATCATAATGAATAACTTTTGCAAGTTACAACTATTCAGTAAATAAAAATGAAGAAAATGTTTCAGATGCAAGACTATAGTGACAAGTGCTGAAAGTAAAATCCTCTATTTAGAACCAATAAGCTAAGCACTATGATAAAGATATATGACTTAATGAATTATGAACCCAAGGAGAAAGAAATGAAAGAAAGCGTAATATACCAAATTGATTACCTGAAATTGTCAATTAGAATAATTATTTCAAATGCCAGTAAGGGGGAAAAGACAATCTTCAAATTTACAGCTGCAGAATGATGAACTGCAATTAAATAAAATGAAAAATGAATAAATAAATAATTACAACAATTAAGCCCCAATATTAGCGCACACATATAACACAAAATCCTTCTAACGAGCGACAAATGTATTTTCAATCCAGGTTGGTAAAACACAAGTGTTCACTTAGAGAATTGAAACCGTCATTAAGCTAAGCTAACAATAATTATTTTGGTGAAAATTTCAATGAGTGAACAGGAAATTAGTTATTAGGAATAATATAAAAGCTCTAAAAATGACATTGCCCATCAACAACAAAACAATGTAGAATTAGGTCATACCATTAACGCCCTCAAGATACATACAAACGAGCAATTCAAATGCAATTAGCAATGGTGTCGCAACAACAGCATGACATGGTGCCCACTGTCAAGAAAAAATAAATTGACGCTAATATTCACATCCTCAATGACAATGTAACATCATCCACAAAAGTTAAATAGACAATAATTCTTGTGAACGCTTCAAACAGGAACACAGAAAAGTACTACATGACGATTATGAGGAATTGATGGAGCGGGCAATGAGAATCTTCCGCGTGCAACAACTGCATGGAATACCCAAATTGGAAAGAAAATTATCCTGCACATGAAGGAAATGCATTCAGAAACTAATCCACTAAAGGGAACTGTAACATAAGAAAGATACATGCATCAGTGAAAAAATTGTTCTCTTGAATATAACGAATTATCAATTATGCACGAGAAGAGGGATCTACAAACGCAACGGTCAATATGAGCAGAATCAAACGTTATACACAATTTGAGGCCATAGATTCCATTAGACCTGAATGTTTACTACTATCTTAACATGCCTATTTCAACCTGAAATAAGTTTCAAACAGTTACTTATCGCTCTCCATTCCGAGTCATCCAAGTTCTCGCCAAATGAGAAGTTTATAAACTAGATTAGAAGATAACAAATCCAATTGAGACATGCAAGGAAAACAACTGAGTTCCAAATCCAATCCAGCATACATACTATTTCATAGATAGTTTCGAAAACCTATCACCGAAGAGTGGCCAGTGACTTCTAGAATTCGCTCAAAGCACTCACATTCAATAATTAACCTCTATGTGCTAGAAGCACTTAGTTCACATTTGTATTGGAATTTGCTCTTCACCACTATTTAGATTATTGTGGTACCTCCAATTAAATAAATCATAAAAATTTGCACTTCTTATTCTGTTTATTAATTATAACATAAACTTTTGAAAACATTTCTTTAGCACAAACGAAACCAATAATTAGGTACCAAAGAAATTTAAACCGCATAACCTTTTCATTACAGAATGATACTGTTTCGCCTTTAAGAACAGTCTTTAATTGCCGAATAAACAGAATTATGTCCGTAATCCCTTTAAAGACCCCATCTTCATCAATTTCCCCCATAACCGGAAAGCAAAATCCCCAAAACCAATCATTTTTCCGTTCTTATTCCATGATGTGACCTCGATACTTTCCTCGCCCACACAATAATCAACACAGAAACCAATAATTTTCCCCCAAAAAAAAAGTTTCAAAAAACAATACACAACCAAAACCGCATCAAACACAAAACGAAATCATCAATAACCTAATTCCATCCGAAATTAGAACATGCACGAAATAAATATACGGAAAATTTGAAAAAGAGAGATAACAGACCACCAAGAGTAGGAGACGACGTGATCGAGCTTGAGAACGAGCAAAACCGTGAAGGAGAAGAGAAGGCTGTGCGCGGCCAGGGCCTGTACGGAGTTCAACACTCGCCGCCAGTTCATCCTCAAATCCCGACGAAAAAAGAGTTTTTTCTATATCTATATATGTAAATATAAATATATATCTATATATGTACCTATATATGTATCTATATTCCTAATTTTCTCTCGATTCTGGTTTTGTGCACTCTAGGATTTTGGAAAATTCGGTCTGAGTCTGGGAAAAATAGTGGGTTTTTCTTTTCAGTGGGCGCCATTGAAAGGGTAAAGAAGAAGAAGAATATTAGAGACACTTTTCACTTTCTCTCTCTTCGATGAATAAAAACGAAACAAAAAGCATTTACTCTCTTTCTCTCTCTAAAGAATTTGTTTATCCTTTTTTCTCTCTCTTCCTTTCCAAAACTTCACGTCGACGGCAAACGCAAACTGACGCTCGCCTAAAGTATGTGGTCGTACAGTACTTCTCGTTTTCTGGGCGCCCACGAAGATATTGAGTATGTTTAGTAATTTTTAGAATTTAAAATAGGATATTTGATACGAGAATATTAAATTATAGTTCGTGATTTATTAAAATATTTTTTTTATAAAAAAATATATGTAAATTGAGAATAATTTTGAATTATAATTTTGAATTTGTGAATTAAACGTCTAATCTTTAGTCATTTACAGTTGAAATTTATGTTTAGTAAAAATTATAAAAAATGATTCTTACATAATTTTTAAATAATTTACAGTCAAAATCAAAAGTAGTCTAAAAACAATTTTAATTTTTAAATTGTGCGGTAATTATCTTAAAGTACAATTAATGAAATTTTTATAATACCCATAATACCTTGAAATTAATACTTATATAATTACAATTTACTAAATACTCAAATATTTTTTATAACAATTATTTTTTTAGCACAATTAATAATAATTTTTTTAAAATCTACCGCACTGCCTCATTCTATAATTGTTTCTTTTCTTATTTATTAATTGAGTGGTGAAATGACATTTTTGTGCTTTTCATTATTGAAGCATTATTTTTTTTAAGTAAAATATTGAAAGATTATTTCAGGGAAAAATACTAAAACATGATGTTCCTTTCAAGTACTTTGTTTATAAGAATAGCAAAACAAGTACTATAAAAATATGATTAGTGTTGTGTGGGAAATGTGGATGACGCATGAAAGAATAACAGTGTAACACGTGGTATTGCTTTTCCTCAAAAGGCAACAACCTTCGACGCTGGGGACTCTCTTTCCTTCTGCTGAAAAGGAAGCCCAACTTAGGACGCTGACTCCTCATGACGACGACAGGTCGTACTGTCGACCTTACGACGGAAATCCTTCAGGAGAAAATCAATTGCCAAGAAAGACAACTAGGCTGAGCAAACAAAGACGGTGAGAGGAATGCCCCAAAAGGGGAAAGGCTGACATCGCAAGTTGCGTGCAGAAATGGGGGATGTCTGCAGTGCAGGCATTAATTGCAAACCCTTAAACCACCCTACAGGGGACAGAAAAGGGTTACAGGTACGCACAGAGCCGTAATAGGAGACTAATTGGCTGAGTGAACGGTTCGCAAAGTGATTAGTGGACTACGGTCTGGGCCTAGAAAGGCAGACCACTTGAGTGCTTCTGCCTACAAAGGAGACCCACCCAACGAAGGAAGCTCGGCTATAAAAGGGGCAAAGCCCCATACAGGAAAAAGGTTCGCTTCCTGAGAGAGAAAAAACGTGAAAACAACATTTGATGTAAATTGTAACAATCTCAAAAGAAATATAAAACTACAGTGGATGTAGCTCGTCATTAACAAAGTGAACCACTATAAATTCTGTGTGTTCTTTTACTTCAAGCATTTTTTTTCTCATATTGCTCACCATTCTAAAAATACAACAAACACTTCATTGCATAAACTGAGTATACAGTTAATATCAAGCCGGTAATCCAACGGGATACCTAGAGGTGACCCGGCCTATTTCTATTGACGAGATTTCACCGTCAACAATTAGCAACAAAAAAAAAAGTACTATAAAAATATAATGTTTATGTGTTATATTTTTTGATACAAAAATCAAAATTAAAATTATCGCTAATGTCGTGTATATTTCTTTAATATAATTGTTATTGAATTTCTCATGTCATCTGATCACATTAAATCAGTCTCTAAAATAAAAAATAGTGATGAACCTTTTGAATATTAAAGTCATATAAATTTATCCTAGACGATATCTGACTTAAAAACAGAGAGTTGCCCAACACTTAAAAAGAGAGTAAACTAAGTAGAAGATTTACATTTAAAAGAAGTATATAATTTAGAAGAAATAGGTACAAATTATTGCTACAAGATAAAAAGTATTTTTAGTTTTGACACTAGTGACATAAAAGAGGAATTTATCCCGTCTCTTTTTCACACTAAACCAGTCCATAAATAAACAACGGTAATTAACGCGCCTTGAAATTTAAGTCACGTAAGTTAATCCTAAACAATTTTTAACCTGTGACATGCACATAACCTGCCATTGTGACATGCATATGACTTGCCATTGAAAGTTTATTGATATATGGTCGTTTTCATTTATCTTTGATTCAAATTTATTTTTTAAAATTTGAACTTAGATCAAATTTCACTATTTTGAACACGATTAATTAAAAAAATACGTTTGCTTTTACTAAAAAAATTATATTTTTAATGAGATAAAAATAAAATCAACTCAAAATTTATCTTTTTAAAATTCTAACAAAGCTTGACTAGTTTATCAGAGAAAAAAGAGAAAAAAGATGATCAAGATAATTGGGAGAATATAACAACCGAGCCTCTTCAATACAATACTAAATAAATGTGTTTATGCCAAACTTTAGTATTTGAACTGAAAAATCACTCTAAGTTATTTTTATGTTAAATTTAACATATGTTATATATTTTGTGGTAAATTAGGCACCAAATATAACATATATCAAATCTTAACATTTAATTGCTATTGGTTGATTTATTTACTTATTTCATTTAATCATTACAACATTGATATTTTCAAATTATATTAAAAAATAAAAATTTACTCTTACAACTTTTAAAACTTAGGCCCCGTTTATTTCACCGATTCGAGTTTAAAATTTGAGTTTTGTTATAATAAAAAGCTCTCAGAAAGAGTCACATATAATTTTTTTACTACAGTAAAAGACTTTCACATAAAGTCACATCTCAACTTGGATCAGCGAACTAAACGGGTCTTAATGATTATAACAAAAAGATATTATAGTATTTGAAATAACATTTATATATTAGAGGACACATTAAAATGATATATCGAATAAGTTATTTTCACACTTTTTGATCTCCAATGTACCATTGGAATTAGTATTTGTACTGGAAATGATACCATGTTTTATATGAAAATCGGTGGTGAAGATACCAAGAAAAACGCATTATATTTTGATTCAAAGAAAAAAAATTAAGAGCTCGTTTGAGAGCATTTAGGAAATAATTTCGTTTCTTGTATAAAAACAAAAAGAGAATTTTGTGCAAATAGTATTGAGATCATTTATAAAATTGTATATGGTTGTGTTTCTATAGACATTGATTTGAGTATAAGAAAAAAGTGAAAATCAATGTGTTTTTAAAAATGTTTCTCACTTTTTTAACAAAATATGAAAACAATTTTCTTTTTCATTTCTGTTTTCCAATGAAAACAAATGTTATTCCAGAACCATTTTCAAAAGGCATTTCTTGAAAACGTGTTAAAACTTTTCCAAAACAAAACCAAAGTAACATAGTTTTATTTATAGTTTTTGCAACAATCTACTTCCTTCACATGGCACAATCATATACATTTCATACTAAGATATTATTTGATTGCTTAAAACCCCCCACTAAGAAATCAAACAAGCTTTTATTGGCACCATTTGATCCTCAAATTTGTTTAGTAGATGATAAAATGATTGTCATTTTTATAATTATGGAAAATAATACTCCCGAACTGTAGTAATTAAGGGAAAATCTAAAATCCACCAAAACATCCAAAATGTCTTCATCTTTTTTTTTTCTTAATCCGATAAAGAGATACCACCAACCATTAAAAAAAACAAAAAAACAAGAACAAAAACCACCAAAAGAGAAACCTAGCGGCAACGATAAGATCTAGCCGGGGCCGCAAATCTAATGGAAAAGGGCGGCACTACGACCTCGAGTTTCAAAAGGAGAGGGATTGTTGCAATGTTGAGATCTAGCAAAGGAGGGGTATATGGCAAAGGTCGGATTCAGCGAAAGAGTGGCCAAGATCTGGCAAGGTGGGGTATGGCAACCATGGTTTTTATTGCTTTGATTTGGTGAAAAGGTTGTAAACACAACATAATGGATTTCAAAAATTTTATAAATCTGTTTACCTCTCATGATGTCTATTGGAAAAATTAATTAGTTGGTGCAACGGAATTTAAACATTTTCATAAATTACTAAAATACTAACTCATGTTATTATGAACAATAAAGAGAATTGCTTAAGAGCTTCAATTAACTAGTCTTTTATGCTATTTCCGTACCCTACGTTATATATAAAATTGCTATGGAAAATTAATTTTTAAAGGTAAATAATTAATTCTCTCTCTAGGTGTACTTAAGCAGACTAAAAATAAATGAGGACCCAATTCCCTTATTTATACTATTAGTAGAAGAATTTTGAGTCGTACTAGAAAATTATATAAATCGCCTATCACGGGGTTGCCATGGGCTTATCCTCTTTTTAGGTTCAAACTTGCCAATAAATTTATGATTTCCACTAAACTTCTTAATTTTGTGATATTTTGAATTAAACTAGGATTTAAATTAATTAAAAATTAAACATCATCAATATTACTTTAAATTATTCTTCAAAATATCCACAGGTAGTATAATTATCATGATTTAAATTTGAATTAATAATTACTATATTTATAATAATTTTTTAATTTATATTTTTTTAAAATTATTAATTAATTAGCTAATTCGTTTTTCGAGATCTAAGAGGATTGTGCCTACATTGTCGGAGGGACTGATCGATGCCCAATCCCTCATCAATCCATCCCAGTGGTTAGACTCGCATGTTATTTTACCGTCCGGGTTATATCTAAATTATTTGTGTCTGAAGTTGTTTTTATTTTTATTTTTCACGACATTTAGTATAATTAAAGACAAAAAATGAATTTAATTTTTTGGTTTAATATAAAATGAGAGAGAAATGAAAAATAACTTTTAGTTGTTTTTTATTTTTTGTTTCCATTTTCTCCTCTCTTAGGAAGAGAGAAACATTAATAGATTTTTTTATACTGAAAATAATATA